TGCCTATCTTTGGATGCTGCATAACTGAAAGAGGAGACACTATTAGGAGCACCACCTCCTCTTCCAGCTAATGTCTTCTGTTCTCTACTAAACAGCCAACTGCACAAAAGAGTTTCCACTTCTTTCTCTCCCCTTGAGGATTTATAACAGAGGTCAGCAAACATTTTCTGTAAAGGGCCACAGGCGGTAAATATTTTTGCCTTTGAGGACCTTTCAGTTTCTCTCACAACTACTCAACTCCATCACTGCAGTGTGAAAACAACCACAGACAATATGTTAATAAATGGGCATAGTTGTATCCCAATGAAACTATTTATAAAAACCATCAGTTTTGATCTGAGGGCAGCAGTTTGCCAACTTGTGCTCTATTCCAAGGTTTCTTTGACTTAGTCTTTCCTAGGTGCTCTGATTTATTGCAATGGCTTCAGTTACCAATTCTAAGCCAATGATACAATTTTTATTCACAAAGTCAGAGTTCTTAGCTCCAAGCTCAACCTGCTCATTGACAAGCAGACGCATGTCTCACAGGTTCTGAAACTGTGTTCTAAAACAAAACTCAAGACCTTCTCTTTCAAACATGTATCATATCTCAGTTATAACATTACCATCCATGAATTTGTCCTTGCCAGAAATCTAGGAATTATTCTTTAGGAGTTGGAATCATCGAAAAGTAATCTGAACCACAGCTAATTCTTGTCAGAGGCTGATAAAGAAGTAAAGTCCTAAACATGGAAAGGAACAACCGGCACCAGCTACTGCAAAAACATGCCAAATTGTAAAGACCATCGATGCTAGGAAGAAACTGCATCAATTAACAAGCAAAATAACCAGCTAACATCATAATCACAGGATCAAATTCACACATAACAATATTAACCTTAAATGTAAATAGGCTAAATGCTCCAATTAAAAGACACAGACTGGTAAATTGGATAAAGAGTCAAGACCCATCAGTGTACTATATTCAGGAGACTCATCTCATGTGCAGAGACACACATAGGCTCAAAATAAAGGGATAGAAGATCTATCAAACGGAAAACAAAAAAAAGTAGGGGTTGCAATCCTAGTCTCTGATAAAACAGACTTTACACCAACAAAGATCAGAAGAGACAAAGAAGGCCATTACATAATAGTAAAGGGACCAAGAAGAGCTAACTATCCTAAATATATATGCACCCAATATATGAGAACCCAGATTCATGAAACAAGTCCTCAGACACCTACAAAGAGACTTAGACTCCCATACAATAATAATGGGAGACTTTAACACCCCACTGTCAACATTAGACAGATCAACGAGACAGAAAGTTAAGGGTATCCAGGAATTGAACTCAGCTCTGCATCAAGCGGACCTAATAGACATCTACAGAACTCTCCATCCCAAATCAACAGAATATATATCCTTCTCAGCACCACATCACACTTATTCCAAAACTGACCACATAGTTGGAAATAAAGCACTCCTCAGCAAATGTAAAAGAACAGAAATTATAACAAACTGTCTCCCGGACCATAGGGCAATGAAACTAGACTCAGGATTAAGAAACTCATTCAAAACCACTAAACCTCATGGAAACTGAACAACCCGCTCCTGAATGACTACTGGGTACATAACGAAATGAAGGCAGAAATAAAGATGTTCTTTGAAACCAATGAGAACAAAGATACAACATACCAGAATCTCTGGGACACATTTAAAGCAGTGTGTAGAGGGAAATTTATAGCACTAAATGCCCACAAGAGAAAGCAGGAAAGATCTAAAATTGACCCCCCAACATGAAAAGAACTAGAGAAGCAAGAGCAAACACATTCAAAAGCTAGCAGAAGGCAAGAAATAATTAAGATCAGAGCAGAACTGAAGGAGATAGAGACACAAAAAACCCTTCAAAACATCAGTGAATCCAGGAGCTGGTTTTTTGAAAAGATCAACAAAATTGATAGACTGCTAGCAAGACTAATAAAGAAGAAAAGAGAGAAGAATCAAATAGATGCAATAAAAATGATAAAGGGGATATCACCACCGATCCCACAGAAATACAAACTACCATCAGAGAATACTATAAACACCTCTATGCAAATAAACTAGAAAATCCAGAAGAAACGGATAAATTCCTGGACACATACACCCTCACAAGACTAAACCAGGAAGAAGCTGAATCCCTGAATAGACAAATATCAGGCTCTGAAATTGAGGCAATAATAGCCTACCAACCAAAAAAAGTCCAGGACCAGTCAAATTCTACCCGAGGTACAAAGTGGAGCTGGTACCATTCCTTCTGAAACTATTCCAATCAATAGAAAAAGAGGGAATCCTCCCTAACTCATTTTACGAGGCCAGCATCATCCTGATACCAAAGCCTGGCAAAGACACAACAAAAAAAGAGAATTTTAGACCAATATCCCTGATGAACATCGATGCAAAAATCCTCAGTAAAATACCAGCAAACCAAATCCAGCAGCAAATCAAAAAGCTTATCCACCATCAAGTGGGCTTCATCCCCGGGATGCAAGGCTGGTTCAACATACGCAAATCAATAAATGTAATCCAGCATAAAAACAGAACCAAAGACAAAAACCACATGATTATCTCAATAGATGCAGAAAAGGCCTTTGACAAAATTCAACAGCCCTTCAGGCTGAAAAACTCTCAATAAATTCGGTATTGATGGGATGTATCTCAAAATAATGAGAGCTATTTATGACAAACCCACAGCCAATATCATACTGAATGGGCAAAACCTGGAAGTATTCCCTCTGAAAACTAGCACAAGACAGGGATGCCCTCTCTCACCACTCGTATTCAACACAGTGTTGGAAGTTCTGGCCAGGGCAATCAAGCAGGAGAAAGAAATAAAGGGTATTCAATTAGGAAAAGAGGAAGTCAAATTGTCCCTGTTTGCAGGTGACATGATTGTATATTTAGAAAACCCCATCGTCTCAGCCCAAAATCTCCTTAAGCTGATAAGCAACTTCAGCAAAGTCTCAGGATACAAAATCAATGTGCAAAAATCACAAGCATTCCTATACACCAATAACAGATAAACAGAGAGCCAAATCATGAATGAACGCCCATTCACAATAGCTTCAAAGAGAATAAAATACCTAGGAATCCAACTTACAAGGGATGTGAAGGACCTCTTCAAGGAGAACTACAAACCACTGCTCAGTGAAATAAAAGAGGACACAAACAAATGGAAGAACATTCTATGCTCATAGATAGGAAGAATCAATATTGTGAAAATGGCCATACTGCCCAAGGTAATTTATAGATTTGATGCCATCCCTATCAAGCTACCAATGACTCTCTTCAGAGAACTGGAAAAAACTACTTTAAAGTTCATATGGAACCAAAAAAGACCCCACATTGCCAAGACAGTCCTAAGCCAAAAGAGCAAAGCTGGAGGCATCATGCTACCTGACTTCAAACTATACTACAAGGGTACAGTAACCAAAACAGCATGGTACTGGTACTAAAACAGAGGTATAGACCAATAGAACAGAACAAGGCCCTCAGAAATAATACCACACACCTACAACCATCTGATCTTTGACAAACCTGACAAAAACAAGAAATAGGGAAAGGATTCCCTATTTAATAAATGGTGCTGGGAAAATTGGCTAGCCATATGTAGAAAGCTGAAACTGGATCCCTTCCTTACACCTTATACAAAAATTAATTCAAGATGGATTAAAGACTTAAATGTTAGACTTAAAACCATCAAAACCCTAGAAGAAAACCTATGCAATACCATTCAGCTCATAGGCATAGGCAAGGACTTCATGACTAAAACACCAAAAGCAATGGCAACAAAAGCCAAAATTGACAAATGGGATCTCATTAAACTAAAGAGCTTCTGCACAGCAAAAGAAACTACCATCAGAGTGAACAGGCAACCTACAGAATGGGAGAAAATTTTTGCAGTCTACCCACCTGACAACGAGCTAATATCCAGAATCTACAAAGAACTTAAATTTACAAGAAAAAATCAAACAACCGCATCAAAAAGTGGGCAAAGGATAAGAACAGATACTTCTCAAAAGAAGACATTTATGCAGCCAACAGACACATGAAAAAATGCTCACCATCACTGGCTATCAGAGAAATGCAAATCGAAACCACAATGAGATACCATCTCACACCAGTTAGAATGGTGATCATTAACAAGTCAGGAAACAACAGGTGCTAGAGAGGATGTGGAGAAATAGGAACACTTTTACACTGTTGGTGGGATTGTAAACTAGTTCAACCATTGTGGAAGACAGTGTGGCGATTCCTCAAGGATCTAGAACCAGAAATACCATTTGACCCAGCAATCCCATTACTAGGTACATACCCAAAGGATTATAAATCATGCTGCTATAAAGACACATGCACATGTATGTTTATTGTGGCACTATTCACAATAGCAAAGACTTGGAACCAACCCAAATGTCCATCAATGATAGACTGGATTAAGAAAATGTGGCACATATACACCATGGAATACTATGCAGCCATAAAAAAACATGAGTTCATGTCCTTTGTAGGGACATGGACAAAGCTGGAAACCATCATTCTGAGCAAACTATTGCAAGGACAGAAAACCAAACACCACATGTTCTCACTCATAGGTGGGAATTGAACAATGAGAACACTTGGACACAGGATGGGGAACATCACACACCAGGGCCTGTCATGGGGTGGGGAAAGGGGGGAGGGATTGCAGTAGGAGATATACCTAATGTAAATGACCAGTTAATGGGTGCAGCACACCAACATGGCACATGTATACATATGTAACAAACCTGCACGTTGTGCACATGTACCCTAGAACTTAAAGTATAATAATAAAAATAAAAAATAAAAATTAAAAAAAACAAGTAAAGTCTTAAGAGCACAAAAGAATAGTAATAGTCTCCTGTTTTCTCTTTGAATCTAAGGTACACAGCGCCACCTAATGGTAAAAACAAGGCCACCATTCACTACAAATAAGGCTTTTGGTAAATACGGAATTACTTACCTGAGGCTGAAGCAAAACAACCAGGGATGTGGGGAGACCAGATTGTGCTATAAATAATACTTTCATGGCCTCTAAACGTGCACAGAGACTTTCCAACAGTTGGATCCCACTAAAAATAAATGAATAGATCAATTACTCAAGAGGGATAAATTCAAATTTATGCTTTTACATATACTACACATACCAATAAACTATATACATTTATATATACACATACTATATATATACAGATCTCAAGGATTTTTAAAGATCTATTTTGATATAAAGCAGGATGGTATTTAAGTGCCAAACTAATGCTGAGCTATTAGTTCACAGCCAAAAGATTAGAACATTTTAAGTTATAATAAATGTTTTAATTTTTTTTTTTTTTAAGAAAACTCAGCTATCCAATCATAAAGCTACAGAAGTATGTTTGGAAAAGAAAAGAAAATTTAGCAGCAGCTCTAGAGAGGGGAATATTTGTTTTTGAATACAATAATGCTATCATACCAATTTGACAGTTTGATCCCATGAGCCAGACACCACAAGCTGTTCACCCCTGGTTTGGCTCCAATCAACACTATACACCTAAAAACAATGAAAAGCATTTAGAAAGCAAAAGACCATCAAGTTCAACGTTGCATTTTATCTCTTGTTATGTAACAGTGAGAGGCAGAACAACTAATTTACTATGTCAAAACATCAAATAATTCCTATCCATCTCAACAAGGTGTCCGAGAAATGAGAAGTTGATCTTGTCCATTCCTCCAGACTTATTCCTTACAGATAAGACTCCATTCTGCTTTCATAGAATTCTACAGTATACTTCCAAACCTTCTTCACTAAAACAAATTATACATATTTTAAAACCTACCAACAAATCACTGTTTGCAGCCCCACGAAGAAATGTCAAAGCAGATTAGAAAGTTAGTCATCTAAAAAAGCTTGCTGGGTCAATGTTTATTGGAAAGCATTAAAATTCAATTAATATCCCTATCTGGCCTTTCCTAGAAAAAGCTTGCAGGAACCAGGTGATCCTTCCAGATCTCTTGGTAAACAGTTTTAGTTATAAGATGCTGCTATTCTAATGTATGCTTCACTGCTCTCAGTGAACCATTTCAAATGAACCATTTGAAAACTTTTGGAAATGTTTTCATTCTTTCATTTTATACAACAGATTATACACAGATCACTCCTGTAAACTAAGTTCAACAAAATATGTGCGTAATTATACTTCATGAAATTAGTCCTGACAAGGACCTGCGTATATGCCATTGGTATATCACATCGGTGATCAGCCAGCACGTTACTTTGAATCTTATTACTCTCTCCCACATATATGTAGGAAGTATGAGTATCTGGGCTTAAGCCACTTAAATGTGGGTTACTTTCTCTCTGCTGCCCAGTACTATGTTGAGCCATGTTGGAGTCTGAGGAAAAAAAAGTCAGTAATACTGATCCCGTCACTTATATACGGAATCTAAAAAAGTCAAACTTAAGAGAAACATACAGTAGAATGGTGTTTGCCAGGGGCTGGGGGTGGGGGAAATGGAGATATGTTGGTCAAAGGATACAAACTTTTAGTTATAAGATGAATAATTTCTAGAGATTCAATGTACATCATGGTAACTATTATAAATAATAATGTATTACTGAATACTTGAAATTTGCTAAGAGAGTAGATCTGAAATGTTCTTATCGTGAGAACAAGAAAATGGTAACTATTCAAGTGATGGATATGTTAATTAGCTTGACTGTAGGAATCATTACTCAAGATATATTTAGATCAAAACACTAAGCTGTACAACTTAGATTTCTTTTTTTTTCCCCCCGCAAAACAGGATCTTGCGCAGTCGCCCAGGCTGGAGTGCAGTGGCACAATCTCGGCACACTGCAGCTATGACCTCCTGGGTTCAAGCGGTCCTCCCACCTCAGCTTCCTAAGTAGCTGGAGTCACACTTGCGTGCCACCACACTCAGCTAATTTTTTTCTTATTTTTTGTAGAGACAGTGTCTCACCATGTTCCCCAGGCTGGTCTCAAACTTGTAGACTCAAGCAGTCCTACCGCCTCAGCCTCCCAAAGTGCTAGGATTATAGCCACCGTGTCCAGCCTACAAATTTTTATTTGCCTATCATACTAAACCTGGAAAAAAGTTTAACAAAATTATATTAAGCTTCCAAATAAGGAATAAAAAAGTAAAATATCAATACTTTGTTCATCATGGGTTTTTTGCATTTTTATTTTTAAAAACATTAACAAATTATCTTGATTATCAAGTTTTTTGGGACCCCCTTAAATTGTGTACCTAGAGTGAGTGCCTCACACATCCTACCCTAGTCCTGGCCCTGCCTCTGCCCACATTCATGCAAAAGATAGAAGAGTAGTTGGGACACTAAAGGAAGCACAATCCAGCAGCAGCTATGAAAGGAATAGAAGGGCCAGTGAAAACCAAAGCTGCTGTGGCCATCTGTTAGTTATGGATAGAAAAAAGGCTGGTTTGGAAGCAATCACTGAAGATCTTGAGAGATAAAGAGTTTGATTTTATCCTCTAAATTTCTCCTACAAAGGACCATATAGTAAATGGTAAGTTTCTTCAAAAAGTTACATTTCTTCTACAAAGAGCCACATGGTAAATACTTCAGACTTTACAGGCTATTTGGTCACTGTCACAACTACTAAACCCAGCTCTTGCAGCACACACAAAGCAGCCATAGTCAATACTGAATTAATGGGCATGGTTTAGTTCCAATAAAATTTTATTTGTAAATCTAACTGCAGGCCAGATTTGGTCCTGGCCCACATGATGTAGTTTCCCAACCCCTGCTCTAGGCTGATGTAAACAGTCAAAAATAAAAATAGCAAACCTTTATTGAACACTCTGAGTGTCAGATCCTGTTGATAAGCACTTTATGTATTTTATTTAATTTAATTTTCATTTATATGAAGTAGATACAATGTCAAGGCCCAGAGAGGTTAAGTAACTTGTCCAGAGTCCCAAAGCTAGTAAGGCGCAGAGATGAAATCTGAACCTGGGCAGCCTAATTGCAGAGCCCACTCTTAATCGCTATGCGAGGCTATCTGTACAGCACACTACTTGAGGGCACTGTTGAATCAGAACTTCTTAGCTACCTTAAGCCACGATATCAAGGAACTAAAGCTCTACCCCTGCTGGTATCACCCTTTACTGGAGCTACATTTGGGCCCAGATTGATTCCATTGTGTTTTCATGAATTACCTATACAAGGATCTTAAAGCCCCTGTCCACTTGTAAATTTCCATTTATCTGTCAAGATGTGGCCCATTACATCCCTTATGAAATAAGCCTCCCCTGATAAGCCCTTCAATGAGTCATACGATGCCTTCAACAACAGCTTGCACCTACTTCGAACTCAGCATTTGCCATATTTTATTTACTTAAAAGAATGTTACATAACTGACATACCTGCTAGATTTTGGAGACTCCTAATGAGCAAAACATTTTGTACATCTACGTTCATCACAGTAAAATAGGCATTCAAACATTGGTTAAAATAATTTAACCAATCAAATTTCTCTTTACAACCTGAATCACTGCTAGGTAGGTATAGAGAATTGCTAAGTAAATACTAGCATCATCAGCTCAGACTCCATTGCCTCCACACACTTCCAGCGTGATGCAGCAGGTGAGACCTTGTGACTTCTCACCTTTTAAAACTGCAGGAGCCTCCACCGGCTCAAGAGAATCCAGCCTGAATCAACACCAAAGATACGAAGAAAACCATGCGGATGGCATTGTTGCTGCCAGCTGTCTTCTGTTGCACAACCAAGTGGCAAGCATTAGGTCTCTAGGACAGAGCTAAAGATAGGACACACATAGTGGTGAAGTTAAAAATGGGATAATAAAGAAGGAAATAGGCTGAGTGTGGTGGCTCATGCCTGCAATCCCAGCACTTTGGGAGGCTGAGGCAGGCGGGTCACTTAAGGCCAGGAGTTTGAGACCACCCTGACCAACATGGTGAAACCCCATCTCTACTAAAAATATAAAACTTAGCCGGGTGTGATGGCATGCACCTGTAGTCTCAGCCACGTGGGAGGCTGAGCCAGGAGAATCGCTCCCAGGAGGTGGAGGTTGCAGTGAGCCAAGATTGTGGCACTGTACTTTAGGCTGAGTGACAGAGTGAGACCCTGTCTCAAAAAAAAAAAAAAAAAAAAAAAAAAGAAAGGCAACTGAATACTATGTTCAAAATATTAGGACATGGGAGAGGAACTAACAGATCAGGAGACTGTGTGGGGTTTTTTTTGTTTTTAATTAAATAAAAAGTAACTACAACAGGCATGGTGGCTCATGCCTGTAATCCCAGCACTTTGGGAGGCCGAAGCAGGAGGATTGCTTGAGGCCACAAGTTCGAGACCAGCCTGGACAATATGGCGAGACCCCGTCTCTATAAAAAAATTTTAAAAATTAGCCAGGTGTGGGGACACGTAACAGTAGTCCCAGCTACCCAGGAGGCTGAGGTGGGAGGATGGCTTGAGCCCACAAGGTCAAGGTCAAGACAGCACTGAGCCGTGATCATGCCACTGCACTACAGTCTGGGTAGCAGAGTAAGACCCTGTCTCAAAAACAAAACAAAACAAACTATTGACCTAAGAGAAGGATTGAAGTGGGGCCCTGAGGGCTGGCTAAAATGTCAACAGGCAAAAAGCAGAGATCAAACAGTAACCAGAAAACTTCCCCAAAGACATAAATGGGAATATACAGCACCCTAGAGGTCAGGGGTAGTGAACACTGCAAGATAACACCAAGGTTTTGTGCCTGAGGACTGTCAGTGATGGCAGCATTAACAAAAGTAAAAGACTGAAGGAATGAAAATAATGTAATTTTATATATGCTGAGTTTGAGGTGACAGCAAGACAGGGTTTGGGCATTAACCTCAAGCTCTGAAAAACGTTCACAGCCAGAGAGATGTTTGAGATACAGCTGAAAAGGGAAGAATGAATTCCATTATCCCAACTTCAATCAATTCACTCATCTATTCAACAAATGTTTATTAAGCACCCACTATGTACTAGTTATGGGGGGAAGGGAGGTTACAAGTTTAGATAAGACCAGCCCCTATGGATCTTATATTTTAGCAGCAGAAAACATGCTATAAATAAACGTATAATTTCAAGTTGCAATTTTTTAAAAAACTACAAAGAAAAAGCAGAGTAAGGAGAACAGAAAATAATGACAAGAGCAGGGGGTCATTTCTCAACAAAACGGCCAGGAAAGACCTCTCTGTGCAGAGACTTGAGTGCAGTTAAACACTGAACTCTGCAGGTCCGAGATGAAAGGCTCAGGTTACAGAGAACAGGGACAGACCTTGAACAAGGAACAAGCTTGCCAGATTTGGGGAACAGCAAGGTTGAATAGTTGGGAGGGATAAGATCCTGAAGAGCTATGGCTAAGAATGTGTCTATGATTTCTCTTAAGAGGTTACAACCATCAACCATAAGTTACCACTTAGATTATAACATCCTTCTAACTGTTCTCCCCATCCATTTTTGTTTACCTCCAATATATTATCCACACTGCATAAAAAGTAATCTTTAGAAAATACAAATTAAA